GGGGGGGGGGGGGGGTTAATGGTAAACTAGAAATGTAAAGAAAAGCTTTGTAAGCACATGGTTTCAGATTATGTAGATGTGAAATAAAATATATGCAGATATATTGGACATGAATATTGGAGATCATACCATTGCATAGGACAAATACTTTAGTTATTGGACAACTTTTTATTCTGTATATTGTTTGGTGAATAATTGACAACACAAACAAAATAAAGTCAAAATTATTATAGTACTTTTTTTTTTAATATTAGTCATCACGAAGAATTCTTATCATCTTAATGATGGGTGATGATGGCTGTAATGATGGTTATGACAACAATAACAATGGTAGTTATGATGACAACGGCGACAGTAGTAGGGGAAAGGTGGTGGTGGGCAATGACAGTGGTGGCAGTGGTAAGTGTTGGTACAAAAACAAGACAATAGTGAGTGTTTTTTATACTTGACACAAAAAGTTGTCCCATGATTTATTAAGTAGAAAAAATAGGATTTTTGTCTTGTCCTTCATCTTATTTGTCCTATCCCATGATTTTTTTTTTTTAAAATCAATCTTAGAACAATAACATTTGTAATGTCCAGGACCATAATTTTTACTAATCAAATGGACCCTGAAGCTTTTGGTATAATTGGTTGATGACACTATCAATCAATATGATAAACAAAGAGAGAGATGTGATGTAAACCATAGGATTCAAATTGGGTCGATGAAATGGAGAAATGTGTCAAGTGTTATTTGTGACCAAAAGTTGCTTTCTGAGCTTAAAGGAAAATTTTGCCACACAACCAGAGTCTGTGTATGGTACTAAATGTAGGGAAGTAAAGAGCCAACAAGAGAAAAGCTTAGTTTTGTAGAGATAATGATGTTGTGGTGGATAAATAAACATACAAGGCATGATAGGATGAGGAATGAATGCGTTAATGAGAAAGTAGCAGTAACATCTATTGGGGAGAAGATTGTAGAATCTCAGAGACTGAAGGTGGTTTGCCCATGTGAGAAGATGACAAATAGAAGCCTCAGTAAGAAGAATGGACTAGAATCTAGATGCAGGATAGTCCTATAGTTGATGATAAGGTGAAACTAAGAAAGATTCTAGATGAACCATTCAAAACAAAATTATATAATTACTAATTGAGGATTTGGTTCATGACATAAAACACAATGCCATTGTTTGATCCATATAATAGACCCACCTAGTGGTGGGGAAAAGACTTCAGTGGTGGTTGTTTTTTCTTGTCATAAATGATTTGGATACTATTTTAAGTGCTTATATATATACATTTTTAGACAGCATTTCTCTCGCATATTTCTGGATCTGAGTTATTTGGCACTTCCTTTTTGTCTTTAAACTGATGATAGATTTATAATGGACTCTAACCCATTGTTCTTGTTGTCCTATGCTTGCAATTTTTCCTTGTGTACGCATAAACTTTCTTTTGGTCATAATAACAGCCTTTTGACTTTTTAGTTCATAATTTACTTGTGTTATTTCATGGGCAACTTATGGTATTTTTCAGTTGCAAGAGTTGAAGCAGCGTGCATTGGGTAACTCAGATGAGACTTTTCTTAGCCCTGGGATATCTGAGAAGCAGCCATTACACGTGGTTATGGTAAAAACTATGGAAAAAGGCTTTCTCTATGCTCTATATTTTTTATTTAAAGTTCTGAAATAAAATTGTTTAGTTTTCCTGTTGTAACCCAGATTCTTTTTTATTTGGTTCTTGGAGTCTCATGAAGCTGTTTCCTCCTTTAGGTTGATCCAAAAGTATCAAATAAATCACGTTTTGCACAAGAACTTATCTCAACTATTTTGTTTACTGTAGCTGTGGGGTTGGTCTGGTATGAGTCTTTAGTTTCTCTTCTCCCTCTCATTGCCATGTATAAGCATCCACTCTTTGATTTTTATATACTTTTATTGCTATTACACACCCTGTCAGGTTTATGGGTGCTGCTGCACTTCAAAAATACATAGGAAGCTTGGGTGGCATTGGACCTTCAGGAGTTGGGTCAAGTTCTTCCTATGCCCCAAAGGAGTTAAATAAGGAAGTGATGCCAGAAAAGGTCAACTCATTAATCTGTTCTTACTGATGTACTCAGATTTCTATAACAGTCCGGAAAGTATATTATTCTATATTTCTTGAGTTATATTATTCAACAGCTTAAATTTGGAAAAGCTGAAAAATTTGACTTTTAGTAAATATTTTGGATGAGAAGATTGTAGGTTCAATAAGTTAATGAACAATGACATTATATGTATTATACCTGCATAATCCTTTCTATATCTAAAAATAATCCTTGCTATTTGTGCCTTTACTTGCTATTTTGTGGACAAGCTACAACAAAGATGAAATTTTTTACCACCCCAAGTCAGTCATTTCGAGTTTCCTTATTTGTTGTATTAGTTTTGTGCATAGAATATACAGCAAGCAAAAAGTTCTGCTACAACCTCATATACTCTATTTTCTTAATCTTTCTCTATCACACTTCCTCTCTCACTGCAGAATGTAAAAACTTTTAAGGATGTCAAAGGTTGTGACGATGCAAAGCAAGAACTTGAGGAAGTTGTGGAGTACCTAAAAAATCCATCAAAGTTTACACGCCTTGGAGGAAAGTTGCCAAAGGTCTGAAGAGGTTAATTTGTCATTTTTTTCCTGATAGCTTTTATTTATATTTCTACTTTTCATGTATAGGCTTCTTATTTCATACTTGGAAGAACTAATTTTTATTTGCTGTTTATGACCTGATTCTCTTTAATCCTTCTCCATATGCAAATTGTGTTGATCACAGCAACGAACATGTTATGTTTTGGTCATCATAACAAAATGCATGCTATGTTGATGATCTTGCTTGTCTTTTAATAAAATATCATGATTTTTAGTGTGTATTGGTTATATTTTCTTAGATAGTGAGTTTAGGCCTAACTCAACCCTATAAAACCAGTTTGTAAGGTGAGGGTTATCCCCTACTTATAGTCTTTGTTTGCCTTATCTCTAGTTGTTATGGGACATAGGTTTTCCCCAATATATTTTTTTCATTATTTGTGGCTAATATGTTCCTCTTTTCAGGGGATTCTTTTGACAGGAGCACCTGGAACTGGAAAAACTCTGCTAGCTAAGGTTAGTTAATTTTGGTATTTTTTTAGACATTTTTGTTAAATAGTTTATTACAAGTTATTTTGTTATACAATTAGAATCTATCGGTCTTATTCTATATGCTTTTGGGAATTGTTATCATTCTCCATATGCCAGACTGCACTGTTATATGCTATATTCTACTAGGAAATTCAAGGAAGGACACTGCATAATTCTTCTTATCTGTGACTATAACTAAAATCCTACTTTATTGACATCAACCTTTTGAGCTAATCTATTGAAATTTATAATTGTTATGATCTAATAGTGTTTGCTTTATCTGGGACCTTGAAGGCTATCGCTGGAGAAGCTGGTGTTCCGTTTTTCTATCGAGCAGGCTCTGAATTTGAGGAGATGTAAGTCTTCTTTTGCTTTTTATGTTTTCAATAACTTAAATTTTGAGTGTTGAGCACATGTTATGTATAGTCTTGAATTGATGTCAGGAACAGGATATTGCATGCTATATGCTGTAATGCACATTATATGTTATTTATAAAGCTACTGAGATGCCCATTTTTCAAACGGTAAATGAAAAAGCAAGGAAAAGAGAGAGAAAAAGCTAGGTAGCATAGTGACCGTAAACGAAAAAAGAAAAAAGAAAAAAGAAAGAGAAAACTGTAAGAGAGAATGTCATGATAGCATGTGGTGACGGCTTGAGAATGTAATAGAGGGAGTATAAACATTTATTTAAGAACTGAATAGGGTGTGCAAAATTAAAACTGAATTGAACTGATTCAAAACCAACTGATCCAGGTTATAAAAACGGTTTTGTTAAGTTTTAAATAAGTGGATTGGTTTGGTTTGGGTCGGTTTAGTATTTTGAAAAACCGAACCATATGAGTATTATGTACATAACCGAACTGCAACAAACAGATCCTATTTAAAAAAATCCGATTAATTTTTAGGAAAAAAAGAACTTGTTATCTTTGTAAAAAATGGATTGTTATTACAAAAGATAATAAGTTTTTTTAGAAAGTTGCTCAATCCATTGAAGGCATTGTTATTTCACAAAAGAAGTATGCTCTAGATATTTTGGAGGAGACAAACATGAATGATTGTAGGCCCATTGATACTCCTATGGACCCAAATAAAAAATTAATGTCAGAGTGAGGTGAACCATTCTTAGATCTAGAAAGACATACAAGGCTGGTTGGAAAATTCATTTATCTCACAATTATGAGACGACAAAGGCGTGATATCTCTTGTTTAGTCAATTCATGTAGGCTCTTTATATTGATCACTAGAATGCGGTGATTTGCACTCTTAGGTGTTAAAAGGACTCAAGGACAGGGTTTACTTTATGAGCATAAGGGAGAAACTGAAATCTCTGGGTATATTGATACTGATTGGGCAGGATGACCCATAGTTATGTGATCTTCTACCAGATGTTGTATATCCATTGGAGGAAACATTATCTCTTGAAAGAACAAGAAACATAATGTTGTTGTTTGGTCTACTGCAGAAGCATGACATAGAGCTATGGCGACAACCACTTGTGAGTTGATATAGGTTAAGCAACTTCTTCAAGAGTTAAAGTTTTGTGAAATTCAGCAAATGAAGCTGTATTGTGACAACAAGGATGCTCTTCACATTGCCTCTGATCTAGTGTTCCATGAAAGAACTAAGCATATCGATATTGACTGTCAGTTTCTTTTGGAGAAGCTGCTGTTCAAGGAGATTAGTACTGAATTCATCTAGTCAAATGATCAACTTGTTGACATCCTGACAATGAAGCTGTATTGTGACAACCAGGCAGCTCTTCACATTGCTTATAATCCAGTGTTCCATGAAAGAACTAAACATATAGAGACTGATTGTCACTTGTTAGGGAGAAGCTGCTGTCCAAGGAGATTAATTTAGTACTGAATTCTTTGAGAAGGCCTCAGATTCAGTTCATATGTTCTGAAGCTTGGAGCAATTTATATGCTCCAGCTTGAGGGGGAGTTTTAGATTAATATATATTTCATAAAAGTCTGGTTTTATCTTTTCCACTTAAGTAGCAGACTGTCATAGTCATAGGGTTAGACTGTAATCCCTCTTTTTATCTTATTGTACTTCTATTTTAATATATATATATATATACATATGCTTTGGAGCTGAGTGAGTTAACATTCAATCTTTTTTCTCAAAACTCCTAATCTCAAGTTCTAGTGTAGAGTAAATGCTAAAATGTTTTCATGTCATCTCTTAGAGGGCCTAATTTAAATGCAGACATTTATACTGTAGCATCCTGTTATCACATTAAGGAATGTTGTGGTATGTTGGCTGTTAGGGATGTTCTTTTTCATATCACTTTTCATGTTCAGGTTTGTGGGAGTTGGTGCTCGACGTGTAAGATCCTTATTTCAAGCAGCCAAAAAGAAGGTTTGTTTATTTTTGCAAATGGTCTCCCAAAATTGTCTGTTGTTCTGTTTTTGCACTATATCACATGGCCCCTTTATTTATTTCTGATTATGTAATATTTATTTCCCTTTTATCTTTTTGTAGGCTCCTTGTATCATTTTCATTGATGAAATTGATGCTGTTGGATCAACAAGAAAACAATGGGAGGGCCATACAAAGAAGACATTACATCAGCTACTTGTTGAAATGGATGGGTTTGAGCAGAATGAGGTATCTTTGAACAGTTTGCAATGAGATTTGTTCCTCTCTTGTTTTAAAATTTGATTAATTATTTTTTTTTCTTGTAGGGAATAATATTAATGGCTGCAACAAACTTGCCTGATATTCTTGATCCAGCTTTAACAAGGCCTGGCAGATTTGATCGGCATGTAAGTCCTATTTCTTCCCCCAATGGATGAATCTATTAAGAGAATTATTATAAATAGAAAGAGTGATGATGGTAATTCTTCCTACAGCAAGAGAGAAACAAAGTAAACAATAGACAAATGAAAATAAAAAAAACATGATAAAAAATGCTTTCCAGTTTTTCTGTCAATCTGGTGAAGAAAACCTTTAAAAGAACCATGAGCTGAAACTCACATGAAATCTGAAGTGACAACTCACTTGGGAAAAGAATTGTATGATTTTAAAACTTAGGTATTTTGTTCATATTACAATATGCAAAATGTGGATACTACCAGAGAATCTTATTTTTCAGAATTTTATTTTTTTTACAAATTTAAGTTATTGTTTCAAACACAATTTATTTTGCAAGCAACTTTTTTAGTAAAAAAAAAAAACAGCTGAAATCTCTCAAAATAATCTTTCACAGGCACACTCTAAGACTACTAACTGTAATTAAATTAAATAGGGAAACAAATGAGGGAATATGATGAAATAAGGAATCAGTTTGCGTGATTGCTTTCTCTATTAGATAACTAGTTGATTCCACAATATATTCTGTATATTTTTTTTAAGACTTTTTGTTGATACTCGAATACTCCACCATAGGCTAAATGCCTAAATCTTGCTGAACATAAAGCTGTTACAAATAAAGTAACAAAAGATATAGTGGGTCCAGAAAGCATATGTAAACAAATAAGTTGAGAATGCCAATATTTTTGAAGAGTTTTACAAAGATCTTGGTCTTGGGACAAAGAATGGAAAAGGTAAGATATATAAGCTTGCCAAAAATAGGGGAAAACAACAGATTTGAATCAAGTAAGATGCATTAAGGGTGAAATAATTTTTTTTTGGTTATATATCAAGATATCAAAGAGAGATGGGAGGATTATTTTATAAGTATGGACAAGGTGACAAGGTTCGACATTTAATATGGAAGGACTAGAAATCAAAGAGAACATACAAAATTTGGCTTAGGGCTGTAGAATTCAGGTTGGAGAGGAAAGCCATTAAGAGGATGGATAAATGATATTCCTATTGATGTTTCTCTTGTTGATGATAATGATGCTGGAGATTCTTAGGAGAGGCTTTATGTTAGATGAGTTACTGGTAAATAACTCAGTAATGATGGTTGGAATGATGCACAACCAGAGGGGCTAGTTAGGAAGTTGCATTGCTGAGGAAGAAACGTTGCTAGAAAGATGCAGAATGGAAGACATTGCTGAATATATGCATAGAAGAAAAGAAGGAAAAGGATCATTAAATAAAAATATGTTTAAACAATGATGGATAGAAGGAAAAACTAAACTTCTGATTGTCATAATTGGTGCATGGCCAACAAGTATAAAAGAAAAATCACAGAAAGATATTGTCAAGTGGAGCTAAGAATTTTAGGGAACTCAGCAACTGGATATTATTGGTAGGATGTGGTGGGAAAGGATGATATTGTTCTAATGGCATCTTGGAATTATGAAGCATAGCTACGGAAGGTGGGAAAGAGAGAAAGGTGGAAGGGGACTCTCACTGATATTCTGTTAGATTGATATTGTGTGTATTGTTGATGTTATACAAAAATACTAATAAAATAGTAAACCATAAGTAGAAAAAAAAAATTGGTACAAGCATGGGTACACAGTTCTTATGGGCATGTGATTCTTGGTCTATTATTATATTACAAGACCTCCTCAGGAAATCTGATATGTGCTATTGGGAATTAGGCACATGATACATAGTGTTTTTTGTGTGGACTCTAGTAATTTTGCTATATTAATAATTAGGGATAAATACTAGTGTTCTATTATCAGCACAAGTCCAAGCTCACAATGCAATAATAATCCCAATCCTAGTTAAATAAGGATTAAGGAAATTGCTGCGGTATAAAATTGTTGCCATTATGTTGCAACTGTTGCAGATTGATGTGAGCCACTTGCAGCTGATGCCAACTGCAGTCATGACATAATGCAGTTGCAGCAGACATTTCAACCTACATGTTGTGGTTGCATTGCGTGATGTAGTCTGCAATTGAAGCTTTGGAAACTGCTAAGATATTAGGGTTGGTTCTTGGTCTTATTCTTTGCGGCTTGTACATGTTAATGATAAGTGTATTAGGTTGGGCTAAGTATCTGTAGTTGAAGTATCTTCACCCTCTATTGCCATAGTATCTTCTCTAGTTGCCATAGTATCTTCTGTTGTCACTTCCAATTATCATATTTTCTATCTGTAGTATCTGATGTAAATAGCCATGTCTCTAGTAATAAAGGAAATCCAGGTTCAGGTCTGCTTTGTAGGATGTTATATGCCTCTGCTTTTCTTTCTTTCTCTGCTCTCAATAGTTTGCTCTTTTATGTTATATGTAAACAATTAAAATACATCCGTGAGGAATCTTACAATAAGCAATTTTTACAGAATATCTAACTACTAACCTGAATGTGCAAGTTAATTTCCTATATAATGTGGGAGTTGCTATGATAACCTTATAATCTTATAACAAACCATGGAAAAGTGCACTGGTGTAATGGCCGCATAGTATAGAATACAGGGACTAACAAATTCCCAATTCCAGATTGTTGTACCAAATCCAGATGTACGTGGCCGGCAAGAAATATTGGAGCTCTATCTGCAAGATAAACCTATAGCTGATGATGTAGATATTAAAGCAATAGCTCGCGGTACCCCAGGGTTCAATGGGGCAGGTGAATTATTATTTATTTATATTTGAGATGAATTTCTTTTATCATTGCAAATTTTATTTCAAGTTTCTGAATGACTTTTTCTGTTATTGTATATTCCCTTAAACTAGATCTTGCAAACTTGGTAAACGTTGCTGCCATTAAAGCTGCAGTAGAAGGTGCGGAAAAAGTAACAGCTACACAGTTGGAGTTTGCAAAAGACAGAATAATTATGGGTACTGAGCGGAAAACAATGTTTATATCTGAAGATTCAAAGAAGGTATGGGTATACGCTGGGAAGTTTTTACAACACCTTTTTGATCAATATCTGATGTAATCAAGAAAACTTTCTAATATCCACTTGGAATAGCCTTTCTTACCCACTACAAGTAGAAGTCCCTTCTACAACCAATGAGAAACATATCTCACTTAAACCACATAAAATAGATATTGGAAATTAATTGTAATTGATTAAATTAAAATAGAAAGTTCAAAAGTTCTGGAATTCAAAAATTGAAGTCTCTGATCGATTATGAAAATAGGGTAATTGATATAAGCATAAAGTCATAATTTTTTTAGAAAGAATTTTTGAACTAAGTAATCGATTAAACCAGAAAGCTAAAGTAGACTTTGAATTACGATATCAGATTTTACTTTAAGGTTATAATTCTTTAAACATTAAACCTTTTTGATCATGTTTATAGATCATTTATCCCTGATTCCCTGCTGTTACCTCTATTATGGAACTTAACAAAGCTAACCCTTAACAGTTGTATTCTCATTAAACCATTGAATCAGAAACATTATGTCTCACATCAAAGTAAAATAAATAAAAGAGAAAATAAAAACTCATTCTCTGGCTAGCTTCAACAACTCTTCACCATTGTACTTACACACAAAAAATGATATATATTTCTTTTAATTAAATATTATCCAACAATATGCCTTAATAAATTCTTTGATGCACTCTTATTTATTGGACCCATTAATAGTAGTGTGTTGACATGAACACGTTGAAGAGTGTTGTTAGCAATGCCTTCCTAACCATTTGATGGCTCAGTTACATCAATTATTTTATCATCTCATCAGTTTTATTTGCCATAATCAGATTCTGCTGGTATAATGAAATGTTCTGAATTCTGTATTGATCTGCAATCAATACTATATTAACTGGCAACTAATGACCTTTCCCATAGGGTTAATAAATTTCTTGGTGTGTGCTCAAATATGTTGTGCTTTTGAAAATTTCAGCTTACTGCTTATCATGAGAGCGGCCATGCAATTGTTGCCCTTAACACTGAAGGTGCACATCCAATACACAAGGCAACAATCATGCCACGTGGATCTGCTTTAGGAATGGTCACTCAGCTTCCCTCAAGTGATGAGACATCAATAAGTAAGAAACAGTTGTTAGCTCGCCTTGATGTTTGTATGGGAGGAAGGGTTGCAGAAGAGCTTATCTTTGGTCGTGATTATGTCACAACTGGAGCAAGTAGTGATCTCCACACTGCTACTGAGCTTGCCCAATACATGGTAATTTTCTGCTTCCCTGTATTGTGTCAAGTGCAGTCTTGCATTTGCTAAACAAGAGATCACTTTTATTTATTCCCTTTCTCTTGACTACAAAAATTATTTAGAACTTTATGCTTGTATATTCCTTTCAGAGGTCATTTTGAAATTTCTGCTGAAATTCTGGACATATCTTTAATTTCATAATGAGTTTTATTCTCCCCCTCCCCCCTCTCTGCAAAAGGTATCAAATTGTGGGATGAGTGATGCAATTGGGCCAGTTCATATAAAAGAGCGACCAAGTTCTGAAATGCAGTCACGTATTGATGCAGAGGCAAGTGTTATGAATTTATACTCCTTTATAACTGCTGAGAAATCATGTTTGGATCATTTGCTTTCCTCATTTAAAAATGTTTTTATATAAAAAATAAAAGTCATGATAAGACTTAGAGATCTATACCTATTCTGCAGGTTGTGAAACTCCTTCGAGAGGCATATGATCGTGTGAAGGCCCTTTTGAAGAAGGTTTGTCTAATTAAATTATTGTGTATAAATGTTTTCTTTAAAGGGGAAATCTTTTTCTCTATTTTGGAGTGGTTATGTTTTTTAAACGAATAATTTCATTAGAAGAAATTTCAAAATGTTTGGAGGATAACAAATAACAATACACATGGGCAAAATACAAGGCTGGGGATAAAACAGAAACCACCAGTAGAGGAAAGCTGCCAATCTGTGTGGATTTGTGAGCGGGTCACTATTAACTCTTCAAGCGTTTAAGTTCTCTTAAGTTAGATTCTGTTACTTGCATTTTTTAGGTTGCCTAAATTCATTTATTTATCATTATTTAATGTTAATGGTTCATAATAGACATATTAGAAGTAATATAAGCTATTCCTTTCTATATCTATGCTTTTCCCAAAAAATCAAGAATGTAATGATTAGTGGTTAAGTCTTATAAGTTATACTTAGAAGAGCATATTAGTGTATAAGATTAAAACAAGTTATTTAGATCACTGTTAGGTCTGACTCGAGTCTTGTACTTGTCTCCAGCGAGTCAAGCGACTAGTGGACAAGGACATGTTCTTGATGTGAAAGTGTGGTTGTTCTGTGAATCAAAATGAATTAGTGTCAAATGGATCCTTGATTATTTTATCCCTGAGAAAAAGGATTGAATGGTGCTATTTACAGAACGAGTTTAGGGTTTTCTTTAGGCTGGCGGGATCATTAAAACAGGAAATTAGAACCAAGAGCAATTTTTTGGTGTGAATTACTTGATTAATAAAAGTTGTCAACCTTGAATTATGCAATGTTTGAGATCATCTGCTATTGTCTTTCATATGGAAATTCATAGCCCTAATAACTTGACATTTCTTCAGCATGAGAAGGCATTACATGTGCTAGCAAATGCACTTTTAGAGTATGAGACGCTTAGTGCAGAAGAAATCAGGAGAATACTTCTCCCATATCGGGAAGGAAGGGTGCCAGAACAACAGGAACAAGAAGCAGCAGAAGGGGATCTTGTATTGGTGTAATTTTTCTCTCCACTTCTTGTCCATTACTGTACTAATTTTAGGGGAAGCTCTGTACAGTACACCTAGAAGCGCTACAGGTATTTTTCTTAGTCTAGATTCTGCAGTTCCCCTCCTTTGTGCATGCATTCATGTCGTAAGATGCATATAGGAAAAAAGATATACAACGATGGATATCTGCGAAGCAACTTTTCCTGCTTACAATGGCAAAGGTCAGCTATTAGAGTACAATCGCCCTTGCTGAGGCCCGAGGGCAATATTTTTTGGTGAGAACTATGTATTATGTAGGAATTGGACATTTTGACAATTGTGTTTGATAGCCTATGCATTCATATTTTTTTTAAGAATTTCTTCAAGAATCCAGTGACCTGTGTCTAGTGGAATACGTTGTAAGACCCTACAAGCCTGGCCACTGATGACTGCAACTTTGCGTAAGCTGTGTAGCATATACTGCATGAGTTTAATTAACAGCAATATCAAATAATAGTTGGAAGTGTTACGAATAATAAATAGATCATGAAATATATTATATGCACAGGTTTGCAACCCCCGATGATTTACTATAAAAGTATATCGTGATCTTAAATTGCTATAATTCAGGGTAGAGCTTCATCCAAACGTACGAGGAAAAAAAGTTCTCTTTATACTTAAAATGAGCGAGGTTTATTTGGAATTTGATATAGTGGGTTGAAATCCCAATACAATTTACATTATAGCAATGATGCGTACATCATTACTTGAACTCAATTTAGATTGAACTATATCCCGTGTATATATGCTGGTGTGTTGAATCTGCAGTGAATATAAAATTCACTTGAATTGATTGTGTTACAGTGGCTTGTACTGCAACTGTCTTCAAACTTTTTAATATAACAATGTGTTATCATTTGTTGCTTGTGTTCAAACTCAGTATACCACATGCTTAATACAGCGGTCAGCAGCTAGCAAAAGAATAATGGAAGGATCAATTTAAACCATTTTGAAATGAAGATTGTTGGGATTTTTAGTTTGCTCTTTCCATTATTTAAGCATTATAGCTGCCATATCACCAGACGTTTAATAGCCCAAGTTACAGTTGTTTTGACCTCATTTAAAAGAGAAATGAGAAGGAAAAAAAACCAAAATTTTGATCATTTTAACCTAGGATACCTATCGATGGGAATAAGCAAGACTTTAGTTAAACATCTTTCATTTTTAAATTTTGTTTAAGAAAGTGCTTAAAATCTGAATTCTTTTATAAATTCGTTCGGTAATGATAGAAAATAATAAAAGATAGTCCAAATGGGTATCAAATACAAGTTTCCATGCTTCTAATTCCTCCAACTTCCCCCTCAACCTTTGATAAATACTAGTTAAGGGAAGAGGTACTTTCAGTCTCTATTATTTTTAAGAAATTAAAAATAAAATAAAAATGAAATAATGTAGTGGGTGATTGGTAGTTATTAAAAGAGTGTGAAAAGGTTTCTAATTCGTAAGAGTTTTTAAAATAAGAGAAGTAATAAAAATGGGTAGTTATTGAAAGAGTGAGGAAATTACTAATCGTGTGAGCAAAAATATTAATTTTTAAATATTTTCTAAATTTCCTAAGCAATTAAAAGGTGTAATGGTCCAATTGAAAGTGTGGACAAAAAAGGTTCTCTTTTATATATTGGTATAAAATTAAAAATAAAATAAAAAGAAATAATGATG